TGATAGGGAGGGAATTCCAGAAATTGACAGAGCGAACAATAAAGGAATTTTGGAATGAGGCAGATCTGTGAGAAGGCATGTAAAGGTCAGAAGGTCGAGACCTTACTTACCATTTCATATAGGTAGTTAGTTTATTTATTTTTTCCAAAGTAAATATCGTTATTTTTATGACAAAAAAAAAACCTTTCGGGCTGAAGCCTCCCAAAATTAAATCCTGGATCCGCTAGTGGCTTAAATTATCTATCGATGTTACGTAATTACTTTTTTCGATTGGTTTGTATATTTTTGGGGCTTCTAAAATATCGTATAATTCTGATGTGAAGGATGAACAACCAAACGTTAATTTAAACTTTGCGAAATGAAAGTATTTTGGCAGGTATATTACACTGCCTGTTACATTTTTTATTTTAGACCTGTCTGTGAAGATGGGGACGTGATGAGGGGCCAGTTGTCTGGAAGAACTGCTGCAAAGGACATTCGGGAAAATAACTTAACCAAGACTGGCAACCTATTTACCATCTGTGATGCAATTTATTGAACATCGGAGTAATGTTTATCTATAGTTTAATAAACTCGATAATTTTAATAAATAGAGGATAAACAAATGTGTGGATAATTCATGTTACTACCAAGGCCGACAACGGACCGAGCGCATTAACACTAACTAGCCTGAACAGGTCCTGGGTCCCTGAAGGGAGCAAGGAGCAGCCGCGATGCGATGATAGCCTGAAATATTAATAACTAAACACCTATTAGCTCCCTTCATTGTGAGGCATAACCGCGTTCCCCTCTCATAGAGATGGTGAATATGTAACTCTAGCAGGAACCTACTTGGAAACATAGTGCCATGAACATAATCATACCTCATCTATCATATACAATAAAACTATGATTTAATAATGGTAAAATGAAAATAATGATGGTGTGCTGTAATACACGTGCACCGGTTTTAATCAGAAAAAAAAAATCAATATTATCCCAAGCATGAGGCTAAACCGCTCTTGATCAATATCCACTGGCTTTAGATAGATAGATAGATAAAAAATAACTATATTCTGGGACAAAGTCCCATGAAAATAACAAAATAGAAAAAAAATTAAAAGATTGCATGTGGCCAAAATAAAATCAATCGAAAAAAAGAAATAATATAAAGAAAATATAAAGTGAACATTCTATATACAAAACAAACGAAACTATATACAAAACAATTAACACTTAAAGTTATTTGCACTGATAGACCTGTATACACTTTTAAGAAAACAATAAAGAATTAAAAAATAAAAATATATTAAATTCTTTATTAAAATCAGCTTTGTGTTTCTGTTGAGGAAACAGAAAGTTGTATCTGATAATATAAAGTGCCTGATTAATATATAAATACATTACCACTGAGCAGTGATATTTGACAATGAATGGCATGAAGTAAATGTATGTTGTCGAATGGTTAGCAACTATCTGACTGTTTTTGGGATAGGAATTGGAATAGGAGGGTTTTGAACGTGGATATGGATGGGAAATGTCAAATTTTGATAGGGAGGGAATTACAGAAATTGACAGAGCGAGCAATAAAGGAGTTTTTGAATGAGGCAGATTTTAGTACTTGTTTAGTAAAGAGCCTGTTTAGTAAAACAGGCAGGCTTTAGTACCAGTAAGGTCGTTGAGAGATCTCCTGGAGTCCTGCTTTTCCCTCCATAGTTCCCTTCATCTGCCTCGGAGTTCCCTCACCTGATAGTAAATAGTGTACCTGTGTTTTTTTTTTAAATTTACTTGCTTTTAAATTATTTTCTCTTTTTATATATATTTTTATTATTATTATTTAGCTGTTATTTTGTTTCTGTTTATTTTATATATATATATATATTATATATATATATATATTTGTACATATAGTGTTAATGTGATCTTATCTTCCTATAACCATTGTCCAAGTGATATCAAATAATAGTAAAAATATTTAATCTGATTGCAAAGATTGGATAGATGCTTTGTATTCATAAAGTAAGATAAAAAATATTTTACCTTAAAATTAAAAATTTCACTCTTGTTTTAGACTTCAATAAACAAATTTGTCTGTAGTCAAATTCATGTAATATAAATATATCAACTAAAACTGTCATTCCTATTTCATAAAATTTCCATACGAAATACGGGTCGTTACTTAGATGCCCCATCAGTTTCACCAAATTCCTTCCACTTTCTTCTTGTCCATTATCTAAACATATAAATGGAAGAGTCCAAACAATAAAAATAACAAGCCATGAGTCTTTATTATACAGGAGAACAGTTAATAACTGTCCACGTCTCATTAATTCAAGCATCTCAGGACTGAAATTTTTGGATTTTTCTATTTATAACGTTTTCTCACGCAGCCATTTAAATGCATACCGAAAAAAAAACAAGAGGTTCACAAACAGCAAGCGCATGTAAATATATTTTTGAGACACGACTATATTTCCAATAATTGAAGAAAATTGGTTTATTAATGAAAAAAATGACCCGGTAAGGTAAGCAGTAGGGTAAAAAAGATCGAGTAGGAATAACATGGTCAAATTTCATTCAATATTTTCAAAAAAATACTTTATGTTATATTATGAATACTTAAATATAATATTTTTTTTTTTTGGTTTTTCGATTTGACTCGACTATAGGAATTTTGGAGGATAGTTTAACAATGGACTAATTTGTATCAATTATATTTAACAATTAAAATTAATATGTATAATTTAAAAGAATCGTATGACTAAAATGTGACAGGCAGTGAACATTAGGAAAAGGAGGTAATTTAAATACTATAGAATTATTGAAGGAAGATAGTCGACTGTTCTACATATCATGGGTGATAAATAGTCAAGACGCAGTCGTTATAAGGTTTTTTATTAATGCCAACGTTTCATCATCAGGGCTGAAATTTTTTAAATACAATCAGAGATATAATATTATACGACTAATAATGAGAAAATATAGTAATTGATGGTACATAAATCGTAACTAATATTACAAATGAAATATGTAGAAAGTTATACAAACTAAAAATAATGTATGTAACTCATTTATAAAAATTATAATATTTTATCTTAGTAACCGTGGTTCGATCACTGAAAATATTCAAGTACTAACACATTTGGTAGGTAAGTGTGATTGTATTTAAAAATTTTCAGCCCTGATGATGACCAACATGTTAGGGTTGAAACGTCGGCACTAATAAAAACCTCATAATGACTGCGTCTTGAATATTTATCACCCATAATAAATACTATAGGTACATGAGGTTATAAGTTTTTAAAACAACAAGTCGTTCTTTAGTCAAATATATGTGATGGGTACATCTTTTTTTTAATGAAGACAAATGTTTTTTTTTAAATAATATATATATATTTTTTTAAACTTACTTAAATGTTTTGAATTACTTATAAAATTATTTTATAAAATTAAAAAATGATTGACTGCTATGCTATCACTGTACTACGTGATTATACAGGTAAATATAAAACATTGATGAAATTTATAAAATTAAAAAATATTAGAGAACTAAAGTGTTATATTTTTTTTTAAATAATGAAATCATTATAAATGATATACTTTAAACGATCGACAATAATAAGATGAAGTGACTAACATACCCCTAGTATATATACTAATAGTAATGCACTAATGAATATACTGACAATAATGCACTAATAGTAGTGTTATTTTCAAATAAGCTCGATAAAATTATTATTCCAGATAATAACCATAGTTTTTTTTACAAGCCTTCATATAACAAACAAGAAACAAATAAAATAAATAATGTGGAACTCTGTCTCAAATATGACGGCCTTAAATCATATATCTCAAAAAGAAAAAAATTTAGAGCGAAGAATTTTTTTGCCGGCCAGTCAGAAGAGAGATTTATCTCGATTCGAACTCTGTCCATTGACCTTTGCGAGATTTTTGAAAAATGAGAGAATAAAAACGGAAGGCCTGACATAAAAATGCGGAAATGGATCAGGATTACCAATAACCAATTTTCGAAACGATTGTCCTCGTCTGTGAAATGAAGACTTAGCAGTTCTTTGTTCCGGAGGGAACTTGTTTAGCGATCGGTTGTAGAGAACGTCATTAGCTCCACGTAAAGCAAAATATTATTTCATTAGTAAAAACAGGTATAGTTCCTTACTATTAACTTAAAACCTTACTATGAATAGTTAAAGAATTCGTTTCCTATTATCATATAAAAATATATTTCAAAAGGCCGCCAATAATTGGTTGAGTGATGCAAGTTACGATTGTGAGTGGTATCGATGTCAAACCTCCGGTTTCTTCAAGCTTCTTATTTATTTAATAAATAACAATTAGATTGTATTTATTTTAGAATATATATAACAAAAATAATATTACCCGTTCATTCCACATCTTGAATATACCATTGTAGCTCAGACATAAATCTTCACAAATTTACAAATTGCTCTATCCATGCAGCAAATATTTATAATAAAAATAAAACTTATTTTCCCGTTTTATATTTATTTATTTATTAAAATTCTTAAGTTCTTTAAACTTGATGCTGTTATACAACATAAAACAATTTGAGTGGATAAATACTTATATAACGATTAATATTTTATGACAGAACTCAAGACTGAATTTGAAACAATCAGAAGATGGTATTTAAAGGAATTTATAGAGTCCTAAAATGCCTCGGCACCGACGTCGAACTCAAAATCTTCAGGTTATTAGGTTTCCAGACTACGGGTGTATTGTAAACGCGGTAGCCCGCTCGACCATCCTTGCACCTTGCGTACTTAACAGTATGATATTAACTTGAACAACTTATCATGATTTACTCGCTATTAAGTCGAGAAGAAAGCGGTTTACAATAAAACTCATGAAATATATATTGATCTTTCCTCCTACAAATATACCCACGATGAATATTTTAATAATATTATACGACATCTAAATAATATAAATAATTATTGTTACAGAATGATTTGCTCTGAAAGACGTGGAGTCAGCTCCGTATGCTTGTGCCTCTTCCTTCTCTCACTCCTAGTTGCTCTAGCCACATGCGAAAGGAGCAGACAAGTAAACTGCAAGTGAGTATCACATCATGTTTTTTATTTTTTTATTTTACAGCAACGATTGTGGATTTGATGCCTTCTCCTCTTTTCGACTGCTTCCTCTGGTGCGGCTCCTTTCCTCCAACCCAGGAAGAAGTTGGTTGGACCAACAACTTCCTACGAATGTATTGTTCATCTGCCGAGATAGATAGCTCTTCGCTAGAACGTAGAGTCCTCTCATTCTCAGGTACTTGGCATTCAGTACCTGAGGCGCAATAATATCAAATACTCAAATAATATATATGCTCGGCGGCTTCAGTTACTTTGCCAAATATCAATCTTTCCATTATGTTGAAAACAATTTATTCGGAAAACCCCATGCTTTATAAGAACTGTGAAACAGTAGTCTCGGAGAACCGATGTCGTTTCTAGACAGGCTCCGTTGATAAGTATATCTAAAGTAGTCTCTTTTGGAGACGTCAACCGTCGTTTGTTCTCCTGTATAGCTCTTGAGCCAAGGCTCCAAAATCGACCTTATTGGAGGCGAAGGTTTGAATGTAATTTTAAAAAAAAATTATTTTTTTTATTATGGACAATAATTATAGCGAGATATGAACACAATAATACCATATATACAGAGAACACAAAAGTAAAATAACAATCGATAACTATGTGCAATAAAAAATAAAATAATCTAAACATAAGTAAATTAAAATCATAAAAACACAGTCATGCATATATACGATATATACAATCAGGCAGGGAACCCCAAGCCCAGCTTGTCTCTCCGACCATAGAGGGAAAAGCAGGACTCCAAGAGATCCCTGCGCTACTCTAACAACCGCGTCGCTGGTGCTAAAGCCGGTAGAGATTCAGCCAGAGCGCTTTAGCCAGAATGTAAATTACTAAAGTACATATTATTCTCAATAAAAGGTATCTTGTCTGCCATTCCAGAGCCACTGCTTACAAAAAGGGCGGCTAATTTGAAGAATATTGGACCAGTAACTTGAAGTTCGAAACGAGAAATTCATTGCGAAAAATACAGAGTTTTTATTTTTTTAAACTTGTATATGTGGGTTTAGACATGCAAAAATCGAAATTGCAAACGCTGACCACCAAGAGAAAATCGTTTGCAGCAAAATAAGCCAGATTATTGCGATCTTCGGGATTCATTTTCGGGATCATAAGGGACACCTCTGTTTCCTGTTATTATACAGATTTGAAGTGGCTTTATCCTTCCTACCGGAATAAGTATTTCCTGGCATCCTTTCTCATTCAAGTCATCCAATCCCCACCGTCTTTAATAAATTTCTGAGCCCCTTCAATTCATATCCTCTGTTCGTTCCCGGTCTTCTGATTCATACATAAGGGCCCACCGAACCGCTGCTTTCGACAGATCGTTCATTATTCGGTCATCATCCCAATGGAACTCCATCTCTTCCCACATCCTTCAATCCAAAACCCTTCCCACCTTTAAATCCCGCCTGTTCAATTCAATTATTTCTTATCCATCCGATTCCCATAAAATTGTAAATAGATACTACTGTAAATATGTATACAAATTATTAGATCGTTCTTCATTATTTTTTCAATCATTTATTTTTTATTATTAACTGATGAAAATTAGAAAGTAACTTACAATTTTTTTATTATGACTATTTCATTACCTTGTATTTTTGTTTATGTATCTCTAAGGCTCCTTAGCTCACATTTTCTGTATTATTCTAAAAAGACTCGTCCCAGAATAAATAAAGTATTAATATTATTATTATTATCTTGGAAATGAGTTCTCTAAGAGGTGAAACTTATAGAATCAAAGTTTTAGAGCATTGAATTGTGCGTCCACTGAGTATTAACATTTCTCCGAACTATTTCCGTAATTCCCGAAGACTAGAAACTGGTAATGAAGTTATGTGTGATTTTCAATATTTCAACAGTATAGGTGTCAATTCTATTGAGTTAGTACTGATAGCCTGTTATATGCAGTATAATCCTCTTTTCCACCTCTCAGCAGAGAAGAATTTCGAGAAACGAAGTATCGAAAAAACCGAATTTCATGAAGAAATAACAAATCCCGATCCGAGAGATATATTGACCTAAATTAAAAATATACTCAGAGGACGAAAAATTTGATGACCTAAAGTTTTAATTCTATGGGATTTTCCTCTAAGAGAACTCATTTCCAAGCTGCAGGGACATTTCGTGTAATTTTTCTCAGTTTTGGGCGAATTTGGTTAAAATCAACGTTCGTTGACCATGGTTTATTACCATACCACTTAACCAAATTATTAAATTTAGGTACTCGTTCGACGCAAAATTTAATGTTCTTCAATTTCTTAAGAAGTACATTTTTCGTTTCGATGCATCGTTTAGAAGTTGTAGGTGAAATAACAAAAAAATGATCGATAAAATCTGGCTTTTTTGACTGTGAAAAGTTTTCCCTTGGCGCTCCCGTTTTTTGCATGGGTGAACAATAATAATATACACTTTAATAATAATATACACAATAACAATAATATACACTTTCGTAAATTATATTCAAACCTTCGCCTGCGATCCATCTTCTGGAAGGACTTCACAGATCACTTGGTCCATTTCACTATTACTAATACTATACCTACATTCTGTTCAAGTATTTATTTATTCAACAACGCTCGATCCATAAATTCAAAGTCTCGATTAACAAGATGTTATAATATATGGTTTAGGTCACGTTTTCTCCCGCACTTCAAGGATTAGCACATTCGAACAAATGGTTCCATAACCCTTTTCGATTATAATTTCTGTTTTGCTAATGCTTACCTTGTCAGCGTTATCATTATTTAATGTTGTTGGTTATCCTACTAATTTAGAGGCATTTTGAACAGATTACTTCATTACAATTGGAAATACCCATGGCGTAGCGAAATCCTCGGGCTTATTGCCCAGCGTGACAAATCGCTATTGGTAATACCCACATAATATAACGCCTGAATTCGAAGCTACAACATTTTTTTTTTCTTTCTTTAAACTAATAAAATTTCTAATTCTAAATTTTCTTTCTTCCGAGTATAAATCCTAAATTATGTTGATATCTTATTTTTTATTTTAAATATGAATATACATGGAAGATAATTTTTTGATTGCCAATGTCAAAAGTATTTAATATTAGTCTTGATTTTTAGTCATCTATATAAATAAATGTTTCCACCAATAAATTCTTGTTTCATGTCATTTTAAAAAAAATTAATATCGAATACTAATCCTGATAAAATCGTTTTCCCTAGAAGTTAGGAAATTGTAAAATTGTAGAACTAATTTATATTCGTAAATATATATATATATATATATATATATATATATATATATATATATATATATATATAAGTTGAAAAATATCTTAATATGTGTATACTAGATACTTTTTGACTGGGCTGAAAGGAGAATTTTTGTTATTATCCAAATCCCTTTGCCTCTTTTTTTTTTTCTCTCCTTTTCTCATACATTAAACAACGTACAAGTGATGAAATATTTGTTAATTTTTACATTTCCCATGCATTAAGCATAATGCACGTAAATATTTGATTAAAAAAAATACATGCATCTTACAAATTACATTATTAGGTAAAATTCAGATTTTACTAATTGAATACATGAGAATTAAAAAATAAAATAAAAAACATAATACAGAAAAGAATATTTAAAAAAAAGATAACTATAATAAAAGTATAAGCCCCTTCTAGCTTCTAGGAGGAGTTGATGATCAACTTCAAGATTAAATTTCTCCATCTCCTTATTAAATATGTTGAAAATATCCACTTCCTTCAGCGGCCAATTATCTCCATGTAGAATTATACTTCTTATAAAGTGAGACCGTTTATTATCGAAAATAGGGCAGTCGTCCTCAATGTGATGCAGTTAATCAGTATTCGTCAGATGAAAACGTTTTAAGTAAGATTTGCATTATTCATGTTCAGTTAAAACTCGTGTCAGTTTTAATTTTGTTTTAGTAGGTAAGTGTTACTTCTGAAACAAATTTATAAAACGGTCGTCCTCTGGTTGCTTGTTGCCATTGTCTGTCCAAATATTTATAATGTCAGCTAAAATATATATTTTAATATGGAATAAAGGGATTTTGTCACAGGTTATATGCAGCAGGCTGGTATTTGTTGCTTCCTTTCCAGCGATCCCGCTGTTCCTTAAACCCATTCAACTTTACGTACCCATTACCTTTTACGTAAAGATCGTGAAGGTTGAAGATATTTTGCCTAATTTTTTCAGTCAGTAAGTCATGGTATTTAGGGATTTTTTATGCTGTTAATTAGAATTTTGTTGTCAGCATAAATTTTGAATAGTTTAGAAGAGGTATAACCTACAGGTTGGTTATTTGAGCAGTTGTTCCTCGATCGAAACTGTTCGTCATGTTGCATGTCTGCTACTGTAAGAAATAATGCACTACCAGTATTTTCCACTATTTTACTTCAGTATGTGAAAATGCCTTGTGTTTGTAGGTCATCATTTATGGTTTTATCTAAACATTGAGTTTATTATAAGTGAATTGAGGAGTGGAGCCAATTTCATCTGTTAATATCAAATTTTATAATTACCGTTTTAAAGTGTTCGTAATCATGTTCTGACTGAGTTATTTTGTAAATGGTGGATAGTTTTTTTCATTTTGTATTCTATTGGCATGATTCCAGCAAAACAGCTTCGTAAGAGGTCGTATGGAATGTCTCATTAATCCTTATGCCTATTAATATTTGTACCCTTATCAGTTTTATAAGGTTTGTACTCTTCAAAGTGAATGATCCCTCTAAGGTATTGTATATAGAAGTTGTGGTAAAACTGCGCCTACATAGATTATAATCATTAATGATTTAGAAAACGACTTATAAACAACTAGTCTCATTTAACTTAATTATGATTAATTACGTTTCCTCAGTATTAATCCGTAAAACTGAGGATTTAAAAGACATTAAACCACCTCATAATATCTCAGTAACAAGGACTAATTTTTTATAACAAAATAATTTTCCAATAGTTTTAAAATGAAATAATCAACGGGCGTCAAAATAGCTAACTGAGCGAACTTGTTTACAGTACTTTATAGTCGATTGGCTTGGAGACCAACTAAAGGTTTATGGCAAATTACCGAACTCAGGACAAAGGAAGAGAGAGGAATGAATCAGAAATAAATAAATGCAGGTCCAAAGAAAAAGGAAAACATATACAGATGAATAATTTATTTAAATATTTTTATCGCGAATATTTTGACAAAAGGTCTAAATAGATAAACTAATTATATCAATAAAATCTTCTGTGTTAATTCTTTTTTCACTAGAGTTGTTTTTTAGTTAAAATTTAATAAGGCTTATAAAAACGTTATTTTTACACGTGCCTCAGTAAAAATAAAAATCAACACGTCTATGAAAGATGAACATAGGTCAAATCATCATTTTATTTCCGGTGCCGGTAAATTAACGTTAATGGTTGCGAATTGGGCCTCTTGTACAGACGCAAGGCTATTTAATATGGAAAGAGGAGCGTTAATTATCAAGGAAGCCTCTATGCCAAGAGGTATTATGGTCTTTGTGACAAAATAGATTTATGAAGAAATAAGGAATATTTACAACGTTAATATGGGAGTGCAGTTCAGATCTAATAACTAATTTCATCAACCGAAAGGCTGAGCAATTTAGTATAGATGATATATTAAAAACAGTAAACACAAGATATTCTGATTATAGAAATTTTATTGCTTTGAATAAGTTGTTCATACTATTTTATATATTTCATAGATATTTCGCTTTGAAGTTCATAACATAAAATTGAGCTAAACACCAAACATAGTAATAATGATTCAAATATATCAAATGCTCTACAGTGAATTTGTAACAAAAATAATGTTTAATTTAATAGAATTATTGGATGGCAAAAATTAGATTTTATTAGGAAAGCATTGCCAAAATGTACAGATAATTAATATTATAATTTTCTTTATTTTTATTGCATCATGGTCAATTTCTTATATTAGTAGTTAAATTACATTGCATTGAGCAAACTTTCATCATGGGGGATCATAGTTGAAGCTCGAAAAATGTTTATTAATCTAATAATGTTTTTCAGTAAGTTAATGAAGACAATCTTTTATCATGTTTCATACATTCTCATAGTCAAAACAATTTTCAATTATAACTCAGGATTAGAAAATCTTTCAGTGATTAGTATTCAAATAGATGGAAAAGTCCTGTAATGGTTGTGGAAATTATTCTTGCAACGATAAAAGAAAAAATTAAGTTGAATGAACATTAAGTTACTAAACCTAAATATCCAGCAATAGTTTTTAATTTTATTCAAGATTGTTATGAACTTTACTCAAGACTATTAGTGCCAAAGGTTTTCATTAGACATAGCACAGCTTTTTCTGATGAGAGTTCTAAATTTTAACATGCTATTAACAATGTTTCTATCTCATTGCCTTTGGCATAGAACCAGAAAAGATTTGTGGTAATGAAATGAAATGCACTTAGCACAAACTGTGGAAAAGCATAAATATAGTATTCAAAGAAAACTTCAATGTCACAAATATTGTTCTTTTATTTGAATAAAATAATTGTCAGTTTAATCAATCAAATCTGAATTTTACGATAGTTATGATTGATTTTGAATTTCAGAAAAATGGTGTTTGCCCCAATTTGTAGAGGAGTGGCAGCAAAGAGGGCCGGGAAAATATTTTATCCAAATCAATTACAGCAGACATATTCACAGTAAGTTAAATCTATCCAAAATTGAAAATTATAAAGTAACCACAACAGCTCATTGTATTAATTGATTAATCAATGTTTTTTTAGGCGAAACACTAACCAATTCATGTCCCCGGAAAAACAACTATTGCCCTATTGGTTCTACACAGCAAAGAATTACCAATAGATGACTGTTTCTCGATTACTTCAATCATGAGCTCATTAACTAACAGAGAAGAAAAAAAGAAGCTTTTTAAAATTTATATGATTTATTTTTTTCTAATCAGTTCTAAATTTATGTATAACTTTCAGAACAGCTTTTAAGATGATATTCATGGTGGAATTATCAATATCTTATGTTAAACATAGGTATTAAAGTAAATGGACATGTAAAAACTATTTGAGGCATTTTGTAAACTAGTTCTTTCAAAGAGACCTAAAACTTAAATGATTTATAAATATTTTTGTCTATTATTCCATCCTGTTTGAATCCTTACCTAACTTCAGTAGATTGATAAAAATTATTTAAAATCTAAAATTAGGATTTCTTAATTTATTATTTAATCACTTATCAGTTAATAGTTTAAAATATAGCAAGATAATATTAATAATACAAATTACAAAAACTAAAGTTTATTATCACCAATAATGTAGAAATTAAAATCTACAGTGATCTACTCACAGATGAAAAATTTAAATAATGTACTACAAACAATAAAACATTCATATTTGAATTATTTTAGCGAACCAATTTGTATATCAACTGAAAATATATGTCCATCAACAATAAAAATATTTTTCTTTATTTTTGCACTTTCATTACCATTTTTTTTTTCTTCTTTTTAATAATGAAATCCAAAATGTCAATCTGGTTGTGTAATGTAGTAATATATCTTCTAGAAAACAATTATACTTAAATTTAATGTTGTATGTATAAATTAACCATAATGTGTAAAATGAAAAAAAAAAAAGTATACATGTGATTTATGTTATTAAAACTTGTGCATCTCAAAAACCACTTTTATTTTTTGTAGCTAATGTGGTCATCTATTTGTAACATTTATAGACAAATCAAAACTATTTATGGTCCTCCAATTCAATAAAATTATATTTTCTTTGCTTGAGTTTTTTGAAAAACCAGGTGCTTCTTCATCTAGTGATAAATTATTTAAGGTAATATACTCTATAATACCAAAGCTAAAGCATTCTTTTGTTGAAAAATAAAATGGCGTATTATCAATATGCAAATTTAAAAATAAAATCAAAATTAGTTAATTAACTCAATAATAACTTAGTTGGACCTAGGAGTTACTAAAGTTGCTATACTATGATAATGTAATCATGACCTTATTGTGGTCAATATAAGAAAAGTAATTTTTCATGGATCAATGGAAAAATCAAACAGAAGTAACAAATATAATTTTATAAAAATGAATAGGAATTCAAATGAAACTTAAGCTACTAATTTCAAATGAAATATTGCTGATTTACCTAAGTATCATCAAATCCATCGATATCAGTAATTGAACAACAGAAAAACTATTAAAATCTTTATTAAGAAATTTTTATTGAATTTAACAACAAATTTATCAATATAAATTTATAAATTATAAAATAAAAGCATAGTATTAATAAAAGAGTTTTATTATTAAAATATATTTTTCAGGTTTGTTAATGCATCTTTAAAAATAAAGTTTATCGAAATCAAAAAGATAATTATGTTTAGGAGTTCTAAAATCAATAAAATTTTGTAAACTCTGTTTAAACCTCTAATAAATCGAAAATTTGACTGGAGCTGAGTTGTCAATATTAATCTGGATTTAATATTATAATAAGTTGATTTCTTGTTCAAAAAATAAAGCCTGATGAATAATGTTTTTTTTTCCTTTGCCGAAGTCGTTAGTCATTCCACCATCCGACATCTTCCTGCCCTGTATAAATTTGAGTTTTTCATATATTCATTTAAAAATATCTTTTTTCTTGACATATGGGCAGGACATGTGTCTAGGTGGTCCGCAGGTTTTAATAAAGCAATGTTTTATTAATACCTGTATTTTTGAAACAACATAAAGACCATTAACTGAGCCAGACTGGTTTTGGTTAAAACAGAAATACCGGTTTAGACCAATTTTTATTTAAATTTAGTTTCTTGAATTCATATGTACTAAACTTCCTTTATTTATTACTACTATTAATTAAATGAATCTTTATAACAAAATAAATAATGCCATGGAGCACAGTTACACTACTATGTATTGCAATTAATGGATCAGGTATATCTAATTCATGAAATTTATTAGTTTAGTGCTGTTTAGTAACAAACTTACCTGATTCTGGGAACAAAACCAATATCTTTTTGATATTGAAAATTTAATAGGAATAGAACTCAATTTATAATAAAATTCTAAATTTTGAGTGTTTAGTAATCACTGTAGAAACTCAGATATAATGAATCAAAAGAAATGAATAGGCCAAATATTGAAACTTTTCCTTATTTTAACAATTTATAAGAAAATGTTTACTAGACTATTAATGAATCATTAGAAATACATACCAATTGTACAGAAAAAACCTTAATTTCTTCTGAACCAAAGAAAATTTAATAAATTAAAAATTCTTTAGAAGTGTAAGGCTTCATAATCTGGAAGTGACACATAATCGAATAAGCATTGAATTGGGTGAAGATATTAATCATAAACTAATATATTATAAAACATATTCATGACAAGCTATAAACATTTACATGAAATAAGATAAGAAATAAGAAGGAAATAAATAGCAAATTGATAGGCTAGGGAAAAAAATAAAACTTGATTTAACTATTATTGCATGGCACTGAGATCTAGATGGACTATGTTAGAAATATAAATGATTGAAAAGGTCTGAAGTTGCATAATATGCACCAACATAACAAATCTTCCTTTTTATTGTCATTATCAAAATATTGAAAGAAAAAAAAATAATATAATTTAGAAATAACTCTAAACATGAATGGCTTAGTTTGTAAGGCATTGGACTCTTAACTACCAGGCCATCAGGAGATCTTCTTTGGTCAAACCTAGACTATATAAAATGAAAACCTGATCCTTGAAAAGGTTGAAAAATAACTGGTGTTTGAGTATGATCCTTGCCAGGTCACTTCGAAAAGAATTGGTTGAGATTTTAATTTCATTTTTTTATTTTTATTTAAATATATTTCTAATTTGTATGAAATGATATATGTTAAGATAGTGAAGATATTATGGAAACAATAACATGTAATAAAAGTTGATTTTTTTGTTTACAGAAATATTTCAGTTTTTAACATTAATAGGCACTGTTCATGAAGGACATCAAATAAAATATAGGAAAGTTAAAAAAACTTGAAACAAAAACAAATATTTCCAATAAATAGTATATTTATTAACTCTGAAAGATTTTTTTTTTCTTATTCTGAAATAGAGGCTTATTCAAACCCTGTTAAATTAATATCAACAATTCAATAATATCCAAGTTTATAATATAACACTTATTAAACAGACATAAAATTTATTTAAATATATAACATCAAAATACTTTTATTTTTGGAAACATTTAAAGATAACAATAATATATGACTAGAATTTTCTTAGTATAGTAATGGAAGAACACACAAATATATACAAAAATTTTGGCTTGATATGAACGGTTTTCATGAACAATAATTGTTTTTAATTTATTTGTCATTCACTTTCATATAATTTAAGTATATAAATGTTGCTTATCTTTGACAAAAGTAATTTGAGCATATTAAGAGAAAACATTTCTCAATAAGCACTAAACCATACAATTATATATAATATTTAAAAATAAATTATTTCTCTAGGCCGGAAATGATTACACATACGTTGATGTATCCTTGAACGTGATGACAGGTTCTGATCTATGACCATTATGGTGAGGATGGAATGGTATACCACTAGGCAGCGCCTCCTGAAGAACAAAGAACTATATTTAGAATCAAAACACACCATAAAAGAATAATAATCTTGTATTAGATTATTAGAGAAAGTTGATCATTTTAATTACAGTTTAACTAGAATTTTTCAATCCATTTAAACTTAGGTTCTAAAGACTGGAAACTATTTACAGAAACAAAAACTCACCAAATAGTTAAGGCTTGCTTAAAATAGAATTATGATGAAAATACTGACACTCATAATGAAATGATTCATAGACAAATGATTTTTGATGAACAAAAACCAGTACTGCTAGTTGCAAACAAACTAAGAAACATTAAAAAAGATTGGAACCATTTATTGTTTGTTCTGGTTTTCAGTAGTTTAATTACCAGTTTTTGCTCAGTTTAAAAAAAAAAAAAACAAGTTGGAGATATAATTGTAAAGTTTCTGCTTCATGGTTTTATCACACCTCATATTTGACGAAGATTTGAATTAATAACATATTGAATTAATTACCCATTATATTCTTATATTAGAATAACCTGAAATTCTTGAAGATATTCCGATAAAATGTGATGTGTCAACATTCATTTTATGACACACTAAATGATATAGATTGCTAAATAAGGAATATGTAAAACAACGGATGTAAACATTTTCAGATATTTGGGAAGGCTAAAAAATATTTGTCTTTTTGTATAAAAATATTTTTAAATTCTTAAAATTTAAAATAATAGAATTAAGAACAGTAATAGAACAGTATAATGTAATAATGTAAATTTGTTTAATTCTAAATCATTTAAAAACATCAACTTTCCAATGTCAATCTTGGTGTATCAAAATCATACCAATTGATTTTGATTGATTTTTTTTATTATCACTATTATACTTATAAACTTTTGTTTAATATATTTATAAAAGGCCCATTTTTATTTCAACCAAACTATATTTATATAAATGTATAAACATTCTGTGAAGAATTTTTTAATAAAATTGCCAAGATTTTTTTTAAATTTTATTTTAATGAGAATTATAGCTTTGAAAATAGGCAGACTGCAATTTATGAGTACCTGGGAATGATGTTTTGAATAGGCTCGAACAGCTCGGAGATGAAGCTGATGTAATAGTCTCGCTGCTGTAGCGTCGCCCGCATCTGGTAGAAGCTCATTGCCTGTTGGCCTCCTCAAAAGATCGGGAGCTTCACTCATACCTTTCTTTCAAAGGAGTACAATTATTTACTGAATATTTTTTAACTTACTATTATATAACTTGAGTGTTGGTTTAATAATTATGCACAAGTATTTAGACACACAAGTGGGTGGAGATTGAAGTATATTAGAAGAAAATAAGCTTTGAAAATCAATTATAACACAGATAAAAGAGAAAAAAAATTAAAAAGCAAATGCTAAGTATTTTATGAAAGAAAGACCACTGATCTGCCCCAAAAAAGAATTGGTTGCCAACTTTAGGTTATTAAAGGGACAAGATTACCTGCACACTCATTGACCATAGTATTAGATTCTATTCATTTACAAAAAGAGAATCTAAATAAATAAAGAATGACTGGTAATCACCTAAATATATGTTCAACATCAGACAATTGAAATAAAGAAAATAAATAGGACTAAGCAAAATAGTTATCATGAATAAATGGATAACAAACGATGAAAAGGATCAACGAAATTAAAAATGTATTTGTATTTGTTATAAAATCCAACTCATTTCTTTGAACAAATGAAAATAAAAAATAATAACTACAATTCTGAAAATTATACATACGTTCTGAGCTTATACTGGACTGAACAACATCCTGAAGTCGGGCCATTCTTCGTTCAGAGTCTTCTCCAACCAACCAATATGTTAACATCTCACCTTTACCCTGCAGATTAAAGTCATTTTCGTGAATAATAATTAAATTTAAACTTATAAATTAATTTTTAAAAGTCAGTCTGACTATTTTATTCTTATTTTTATCATTTTCATATTTAAACATATCATCAAACTATGTTTACATATAATTAGGATAGTACTACAATAAAAAAAAATCTATCATTTATACTTGTACTGCAATCTCTTAATGAGTAGTTTTTTCTGGACCTAATATCCGATGGTTAGTAGGAAGTGCTCTCTGAAGATAGTCTTTAGGTACTCCGTTTATCCTTTTTCAGTTCCCCAAACATAAAATTTTACAAATTCAAACTTATTTATCATCAATTTTAAACCCATTTATTCACTACAATACAACTGTTTTGAAAACACAGGCGGTTAGTCTTCTTTCTTATTTAATGATATTGCTTTAAATTATATGATTTAACAGATATTTTTGAAAATCTAATTATTTACTAAGGTAGGATATAAACTTTGTTTTCTCATTCCTCAAAATGTTTGTCCTTTAATTTTGTTTCCACCTCAAATTCTCATATATCTAAAAATCTACGATTATGTTACCCATTTTTAAATCAGGACTTGAGTTTATTGTGCATCGATGGCAGAATGAACATTAATAAATTATATTATTATAATAAATAATACTATAATTAAATATTAAATAATATCATAGATATTAATTAAATAAATATATTGTAACTGAATATCATAATAAATTAAATTAATTAAAAAAACCATTAAAGTTAAATAACATTGTAAGCCCTTTAATGATAATGAACCCATATATGAGTCGGGATGGGACCATGCCCTGTTGACAATGGACTCACATATGAGTCGGGAGCATTTTGGGTTTTTTCTTGTTAAATGACAGGTGCTCATTGATGATTTCTTTTTTCATACTATCTCGTGACCTTTCAATGAAGTAGTAGGTTATTTTTCTGTGGAGATTATGAACATTTTGCAATGAAGACCTAAATAAAAATTCAAAATGATCAATACAAATGATGAAAAGTATTTAATTTAGGGACATGAAAAAGTGTCCCCTACTATCGTCCATCTGCCCTTCTCACTCATCATAACTAAAAGTTGAATGCACAACTAAACAACTAATATAATGATAGTAACATATAATATGCTTTAACAATTAAAGTAATTAATAAAAAAAATTGCATTTACCTTTATGTAAACGTTCCCTCTTTCTTCACAATTGTAACCTCCAAGTCGTTCAAGCAACTGTTGCGTTGTCCTTGAAATATGAATTCTAAAAGCTTCGCCAGTTGATTCCATTCTTGAGGCTGTGTTCACAGTATCTCCAAAGAGACAGTAGCGGGGCATTTTCAATCCAACAACACCAGCGACACAATGGCCTAATCGTAAACAATATGTGTTTTATTACTTTTTATAGGATAAAAAATAAAAACACATTTTGAAAAGTTCTGTTGTATATTTATAAAAGGATATATTTATTATAACTATAATATCAACAAATAGTTATATTATTTTTAATTTATTATGAACATTATTTACAATATAAAGAGTGGAGGCTTCATTCAAGTAAAAGCTGATTTAAGTAATAAAAAACCAAGAAAGGCTTTCACCTGAATGAATTCCAATCCGTAACTTCAGTGGTTCTCCCGGTCTGTGACTTATTTCAAGCCTCCTGATATTGGCTAACATGTGAAGGGCCATACTTGCAATTTCTCCTGCATGACGATCACCATTTCGTACAGGAAGACCGGACACAACCATGTAAGCATCCCCTATGGTTTCTACTTTGTAGACGTCATAATGAGAAATTATGGAATCGCAGCAGGTATAGAGATCATTCAAGAGTTCAACAACCTGAAAAAAAAACAACGCTTAGTATGCTGAGTTTCATATAAAAATATTACTATTAAAATTTTCAAGGGTATATTTTATTCAATCTAGTTTCATTGTTTTAAGAAATAACTTAAAATAATTTTTGGACTATCCTCAGATTTTATATCTTTGAAAAAATGTATTGATTTATTAGGAAATGATATTGCCGTTAGTCTCAGGTTTTTCTGGAGCTATCAACCTGGTCCAGGAGGCACCAGAGTCACCTTCTCTGAGCTCACCTGCATAACTCTCAGCAGGCATGTCCTAGCTGGAGGAAGAAGTGGTGAACTGAAGCTAGATGGTTAATATGCCCTCCGTTATATATGCTGAAGTCCCTCAAGAAACTTTTGCGAAAGAAGGAGTAGGTATTTTCAGGAACCCAAAAATTTAAAGCCAACTAGAAGACTGGGAGCCTGTCTCATCAAGAATAATTGAGGCAGATTTTTCTTTGGCTGTCGGTAAAGTTACTTTTGTTGAAGCATATGCACTGACAGAAGATACAAGAATCATGGACAAAGAAGCCATCTACTCGGACTTGCAAGGAATACTGAATAAACTAAAGGATAAAGGACGATTCACAATACTGAGTGGAGACTTTAATAAGAGAACAGGATGTGATCCAACTGTTGCTTACGATGACCTTGGAATCCATGGATGAGAGAGGGTAAGGAATGGAAATGGACTACACCTTATTGATTTCTATGTGGATAGTGACATGCTTGTGGGCAACTCTTTCTTTCCCGACAAAAGGATACACAAAGTAACCTTTTTGAGCCTGCAAAGAAACAGTATTATATGATCGTGGCATGAGATAGAATTTTGCCGACATTAAAGTGATAAGAAGTGTAGAAATCGGCATGTGTTATTAATAGCCAATACTAAAATTCTGCAGAAACAACCAATTAAAGAAAAGAGCTACCAAACAATTAAATATATGAGCTTTAGATAATCCCGTAAAGAGAACCTCCTGCACTGAAAAACTGGAAAGTAAATGAAGAGCATTGAGTCTGGAGGAGGATATGGAACATCAGTGGTGCTGTTTCAAGACCTGTGTCTTGGAAGTGGCAAGAGAAGTTTGTGGTTTGCATAAAATATTTTTTTTAAAAAATAAAATTTTTAAGCATAAAATATCAAGCAAACAGAAGCGGACCGAATGATGAAATGAAAAGGTGCGCCATGTCGTCCAATTAAAGAAGAAGGCATGGAAAGACTACCTTCAAAACAGAACAGTCGAAAAACGGATCCTATACTATTTGGCCAGAAATCGATGCATAGGAGTGGCCCATCATACAAAAAGATCTGCATGGGAGAAGTTTCGAAAAAGGCTCGATGAAAAGCACCGAGGGAGTATAAAAAATTCTGGCGCAAAGTAAAGACATTGAGAGAGAAAAGAAGTAAGCCAGTGAGAAATGTTAAAGACTCAAACAGCAAGATGATAACAGAAGAGGTAAATATTCTTGAACAATGGAGGGAATTTTATCGAGGACACTTCTCAGAAAGGCCTAATGATCTAGGAGAACCTGCTGTAGAAAATTATAGTCTGGAGAATTCTGATGCCATTGGGGAAGATGAGGTAGAGTATGCCACAGAAAAAATTAAAATAGGTAAAGCAGCAGGAAGGGGTAGTATAGCTCCAGAATTATTGAAATTTAGTGGTAAGTGCTTATTAAATTTTTCCAGCAACTCAAAAAGGTTATTAAAGGTATTCCTCGAAATAATAAAACTAGATTGAGTAAGTATGTTGATTCAGGAAAAGAACAGTCATGTCCATTAATAAAATACAAGTAGACAAAAACTGCAGTTTAATTTCTAAATACTTTTATTGCTTAAACTAACATGGAACATATAACTGAAACTAATATTATCTAATTCAGGTTTTAAGTTGAGGGTTTAAAATGTTAACCATTTAGCATTGATCTATGAGAGCACAAACTGGTTAAGTATCTTTCCTCTTTCATACTGTATTACTACATATAAAGCATAATTTTCTGAGATAACTTTAATTATAAAAAAAAAAACCAATAATCCAATATAAATTCTGGTTTTGTATAGGCATATCATTAAAAAACAATTAACCATCAACAAACAAAAATCTATAAATGGGAATCACCTGAAGTGGTGTGCTAACGGCTGATAACTCGGTAAATCCCACAATGTCACTGAAGTATATTGTGACACACTCAAAACTTTCAGCTTCAACTGGGTCACCTCTCTTCAATGCTTCGGCCACAGTTCTATCAGAAAATATTTTAAATTATTAATAAATCGGTTCTTAAATTTTTAAATTTAGCACTAATAACAAAATAGTAACTATTATTATTGTGATTATTACTTTGGTAACATTCTATTTAGTAAAGCATCAGTCTTTTTCTTCTCTTCAGTCAGTTGATTGGTCCTTTCTTGAACAAGACCTTCCAAATTGGAAGCATATTTTTCCATTATAGCCAACATATTGTCAAAAATATTTGGTTTTCTAAAAAAAATAAAAAAAAAATTACTTCTCTCTTTAGAATTTTTATGTTAACAAAATAAAAATTAAATTGAACTTAAGGCTACAATAGCAATTAAGGGACATGTATATATAACAACAAATACCATGATCAAATAAAAGAACTAGAACTATATTTTATATTTGTTATTTACTTTTTTTTGTATTTTACAGAATAAAAATTATCCTTTACCTGTAATTTGTGTTTCAAAGAATAATTATTACCTTTTAATAAAAATCTGGTGCAGTGCGCACATCACAGAACTTTCACTTACCACCCTCTTAGCAGAAATAAGAATTTAGACAAGGGGAAAGTGAAAGTAAAAATTATAGACTCTATATTTATTTATATTTCATTGTGGGTTCTTTTTATTTGTATAAGTACCCTTATATATACAAATTTTAATATTTATACCGCTGTAATCTATACAATTAAATATTACCAACAATAGCATTTATGAAAACCACATATGTATATTTACATAATATTGTCGGAGTCCGTATTATATTAAGCTCATGTTACATTAGGAAGCCTATTCTAATCTTTCGGGTGAGCTGGGGTGAGCTAGGGCGTGCTCGTATTGCTTTGATTCCTCAATCACAACTATTCTCTGTTACGATATTTTATTTTTTCTTTAATTAATTATCAAATTCTTTCATATTTTATATTTAACTATCTTTTATAATACAGATTAAGTCAATTGTTTCAAAAAAAAAAAAAAAAAAAGGTACTTTAGAGGAAGCTATTATTGAAAATTAACCATTTAAGCCCTGTTAGAGAACATCAATCAGAATAAAATCTATATTTTATTTAAAACTGCTTAATTTTACACTGATATAATGAGTTTAATCAAAATTGTTAAAGCAGTTTTTGAGACAATTGTAAAAATGTGCTAAGTCCATGATATAAAGTGCCACTTCCGGTTAGCCGATTTTGATGAAACAGTTGCTGTAACATCGCTAGCATATAAAAATCTTAAATATACAATTTAATTTTCGTATGACTTTTTGTTTTTAAGCTATACTGTTAATACAAACACACAACCATACACACACACACACACACACACACACACCGTTTTGCAGGACTTGGTTATTTAAACTCAGAAGACCTCAAAACATGTATTTCCATTGAAAACTGAGATTCGAAAATTTTCACGATCGCAATACTTTCCTTTACTATATACTTCATATATAGGTAAGTGAAAGTAAAAATAAAGTTCACTGCCAAAATAAATGCCGAATGTTGCCTAAGTAGAACTCATTAGAGTTATATGGCTTTTTTACTTAAATTGGAAAGTTGCCTAAACAGATACTGATTTATAACATGGACATTTTATAAATGTTGCTATCTCAATTGGATCCTTTAAAATTTTATTTTATGTCCAATATTTAGTGTAAAGCTAAATAATAGAAACAAAAGAACACATTTTTTAAAAGAGTATTATAAGAATAGTGTATTAACTCACAAGCCGGCTTGCATTTCTTTTAGCTTAACACGAACGAATCGGAAATCTGGCCTCTGTTCCGGGTCCTCGTGCCAACAGTCTTCCATACAAGCAATCACTGAAGGAGATATTGCAAAAGCTTTTACATCTGGCCTTAGGCCAGAGCCACTCTTTACTTGGTCTATAATTTCTGAAATATTTGAAATATTATGATTTGTAACATTTCATTATAAGAATTAAATATTGTAAGTGAAAATGTGTATTTCTAGCAAACCTCGAGGTGTAAGTTGAGTGGTTCCCCATGGACCATGTCTCCCGATAACTTCGTAAAGGATTATTGCAAATGAATAAACATCCCCTTTCTGTGTCCCTCTGGGATGAGCATGTGTTGCCCTTAGTAACTCCGGTGCACGCCAGAGACGCCTCTTAATTTCTAAACTTTCATCAGGCTCCTCCTGACCCGCTATTTCCAAATTGTCAATTTAAACTTCATAAATAATAACAAAAAGCTTTAGTAAAAAATATATATGTCAGATAGCTTTGTAACAGAATATTTGTCTCAATTTAACTTCAATAAAACTAGCTTAATTTATTATTAACTGATAAATCTGCTAGATTCATTAGAATTATTCTTTATTGATACAAAATCAATCATAGAAAAATTAAGATTTCTTGATTAATACATTGATAAAAGAATAATAATTCCTAATTGTGAAAAATAATAGCAAATCAATCATAAAAATAATACCAAAACATTGTGTTAAATATTACACATAATTTTAAATTACATATTAATCTTAATTTTTTATTTTTAGTATTTGATATCCATAACTCCAAAATTAGCCTACACCATTTTAATTTTTTTTTTATTAACAGTTTTACTACTGATCATTGTGATGTAAAGGATTTTTTATTTTTCTCAAAAACAGTTTAATCACGTGTAATTTAACTGTTTTCAAAAGAAAGTTTTTTACCTCATGATAATTGAAAACCAAAACAATACAATAAACTAAAAAAATATAAAAATAAAAAAAATGAAAATGAAGTAGGCTGGTGTTGTAATTCCATCTAATTTTCTTTTTTAATCCTACAGAAAAAATACATCTGTTAAATATAAGAAATTAATAAATTCTGCATTATATCGCCAGTCCGAAGTTAAACCACAAATGTGAAACAAATTCAGTTTCACCTAGGAGCTAAGTTTAAAATTATTTTCATACTGTTTCCTGGAGCAAAAACATGATTATGGAAAATCTATAGCTCCTTTTCATAAGTGAAATACCGTAAATGTAATTCGTTTGATTTTTGAAAGCCAAAGTAAACTTCAAAACTTGTTTTCTCAAAATTAGTAATTTGCACATTTGTGGTTTTGCTTTTGGACCAACAGAGTATTGTTTGATTTTTAAACTTTTGTTTTTGAATTACAATGGATAGAATATTTATCCTTTTTTTTCAGATTTCTCTTTTGTAGAAAATAAATTCTCAATTTGCATATAACTCTATGGTTAAAAGAGAAAACATTTATCTAAAGGTACATAAAAAAATAAAAATAAAAAGATTATCGATATTTTATTTTTAAAAATTGTAAGTACCTTTAAACTCGTGTAGACCAAAATCTGAAATTTGAAGAACCCATCGGCTATCTACTAGGCAGTTACTAGATCTGAGGTTACCGTGAGATATAATGTCACTATCATGAAGGTAGATCATTCCCTGAAGTTATAATGTAAAGTTGATTACTAGCAATATAATTATTGTTCAAGCTTTTTATTTGTTTAACTAAAGTTTTTAAAAAAAATAATTATGAAATATTTAAAAAACCTTTAATTAAACATAAAATTTACCAAATATTTTATACCTTGATAATATCAGCAATAAGAGAAGAAATAAACATATTGTCGAGATGTAAATCATCATTTGCCAACACATCTTCTAAACTACCTCTTGTACAATATGGCATTAATATTTTTATATTTCCAGCTTCTACTGATGCTCCGATAAAAGTGATTAAGTTCTCATGGCGCACTTCCCTTACCTGAGAGTGATAAGTGGAATGAAGACTATTGATTAAAACATATATTTAAAAAAAAATACAATAATGACAAATAAATTGTATTTGTTAATAAATAATTTTTGCAGTTATTATTTTTATATAGGTAGGTACTCTATTAAAAATTATGATAACATAACATAAATCCCTTATCCCTTACCTGCTTCAGTTCCTTCCTTATGTTCCTTGTCAGGTCTACAGATCTTTTATATACAGTTTTGATGGCTACTGTATTCCCTTTATAGAAACCAATATTGGTATAAGCCCTTTTTGGACTGACATCAGGTACAATACTGCGTAAACAGCTTTGTCTGCACACTTGAATCTAAAATTTAAAAAATAATTAATATGTTTAGAATTCAAACAAACTCAAATGGATTAAAAAATCTTGGTTTTTTTTTTTTAATAAATAAGGAAATATAGATTATCAAGTGGTAAATTGTGGATAATGGACAACAATGCTAACTTGCCTATTATCATACCAAACATCTATCATATCAATAATCTGAACTCCTATTAATCTGAAACATATCATATCATGAAATATGAAATCAATGGTAATCCGAAAAAGTATGAAAAAAAATCAAATTTGACTGACAAGAGACCGAATGAAAATGGCTGTGTTTCTCAGTGCATATTACTGACGTTGCTTATTGTGGTACTATCAATATCACATTGTGGAAACTTTAAAGGTAAAACATTAAAACTAGAAGTTTATCCAGAAGTTCACGAATTTCTTCATATGAGGTTTTTGCAGCAGAGATCACAAAGGTGTCCAATTTCCTGGGATATATTAGCTGAAAAGTTAAAGTTTTTCTTAAGTATATGTACTTGCCATCAATTACCAAAGTCTGGTACTCTTAAGTAATTTGCGAGATTGAATGTTTTCTTTAGCAAGAAAATCAGAGATTCAACATAATTTATATGATCATTTTAAGAAATAATATTTTTTGATTTTTTGTAATGTGTTTATGTTTAACTGATAATATATATATATTTCCGTTGCCTTATACAATTTTTCCATCATTTTAAATTTAATATTTAATAATCAGAACATTTTGATCATCTGAACAGTCCATGCAATACCTGGATTATCATGAATCATTGAGTATAAATAAATAAACAAAAATAAATTGAAAACAAAAGAAGCAATAGAAACTTTAATCTTGATCATAAACGTTTACAATAGTATTTTGTATTTTATTGTTAATGCCGACGTTTCGATCCACTTTGTAAGTCTTCATCAGGGTGTGGTGTCAAACACAACAGGAAGCAGTTGGTAGACTTGTCCTGTCTAAAATATTTACAATTTTCTCACTCAGCCAAATGAACTTCACATAAAGAAAAACAAATCAGGATTCAAGAAGATACCAGTGGTGAACCGCAACAACTTCAGTGGGATTGAACTCCAATGGGAACTAAGTAAGGATAAACAGTAAGTACACAGGGAGAGTATGGCAATCACCAGGACTCCACAGATCATGGAAATAGTGATTAAATAAAGTTTCTGGGGAAAAATCCTACACATCGTTCATAATATTTCGGTTCTGTTGACACTTTTTTTTTTTTATGAAACTAAGGAACTAAGGAATTTCATAAAAACAACATTTTGACTAACCATGATGTATTCTCACAAAAAGAAGCATCAAAAATTAAAATACTATGTTATTAACCTAAAAAAAATGCAAGCATGAATTATTCTATATTTCATACAAAAAAAATTACTGTCTAGCATCTGATCTAAGCAAGAACTTTGGGAGAAGCTATTTCCCAAATTTTCTTCAAGAAGTCAATCATGATTGATCAGCACATCGAACCAAATAAAACCATTTGATTGACTTGACTTTCAGTAATAAAATGGTTTGAAACTAGGAATTAAATCAAAATATTCGTCTTAGCCCTCCTTATAGCCAAAAATAACTTCTATGTAAACCTAGATTTATTGAAAATGACACGATATTTTAATATTAGTCATTAGAAATAGGATAAATGATACAAGAAAAATTTAAAATCGCTTTTATGGACTCAGGAAATCCTGTAACAAACAAATTAAGAGAGAACCAAATCTACGTTATTTGCAATAAATCATACCATGTTGCTTTTTTGAGTGCCTGTAGCTGTAGGAATGATGGTCACTTCCCTCATATCTATTTTCCACAAGAGGCAGGCAAGTTTCTGTTCGTAGCGATAATGTCTAAAACATAAAAATATCTGTATTTTAAATATTCAAACTACAAACATATATGATAAAAACAAAACATAAAAACAAAAAATAAATTACTTAAATTCTAGCTGATCAATTATATTTATTTAGCTGATAAACCTAAACTGAGACACAACAAAACAAAAATTAAAAATAGTATTACACAGAAAAATTAAAGAAAAAGCTCAGTGTAATAATGAAAAATTCTTTCTTAGATTAATTCTATTTCAAAAATCAACAATAATAATAAATGAAGCATATAATTTTTTTTGTTTAAACAGTAGCTTGATTTTTTTCGTAGCCCGTTATGTAAATTTACTGTTTTTTTTTTTGTTTTTTTTAATCCTCCATTTTACTAAAACAGTATTACTTTTGAGGTATCAATTGAAGTTAAGATCTATATTGTGATAAAATATTCTGATAAAGATAATAGCTCTAACTAAGGTTTTGTGCCATACATTTAAATATCTGTTGAGAAAGTCAGGTTAGTTAATATTTACAAGCAGGTATTAATTATCACGATGCATGCATATATAAAATTTGCTATTTTTATATTTAAATAACTATATTATAATATTCTCCTCATTATACCTATAATTTGTTAAAAAAACTCAATTAAGTTAAACTTAATTATCATTTTTTTATTTTGGCTGTACAGAATCTGTAGTTCTTTTTCCCAGCTTTTCTATCTCTGCCTATATTGTACTATTACTTTCCAGTTATCTCCATGTAGTTCCAACAAATTTTTTAGATTCGATCTATCCATTTTGTTTATGGCATTCCACTTTTTTTACCCTACTATTGAGGCATTCATTGTTCTCAAGAGGCTTCCTGATAGATTGCTCTGAGCTAGATGCCCCGCCCATCTTAACATCCTTGCTTTTATATCCCGAAATATTAATTGATTAGATTCTATAAAGCAGTTCTTTATGGTCCTTATATTCCATACTGTTAGCACTCTGCTCCTAGATCACTCTAGATATCGTACAGAGGATTTTTCTCTTAAATATTTCAATACTTTTCTCTAGGGTACTGGTTAGTGTCGAGGTCATATAGCTTTATATCAGAACTGGCTTTATCATGGACACCGTTGATTTTTAGAGTTTTTAGGATTTCTATATATTTTTTAATATAATAATAGCCATACAGTTCCTAAATAGCCTTAATTTTATATAATTTAATTTGAAAAAAAAATATTGCTTAGTAATTTATAAAGATTAAGACTATAAAAATAAATAAACTCTCACTTAAAAGCAAAAACTCCTGCGACCAACAGAAGACAAAAAATTCCTCCAATAACCAATATTATTATCCATCTATCTTTCTTGCACTTTTCTCCGAGGAAGCCACATTGTGGTTCAGCCAAAGGTTGAGAGCCACCAACCCACTGGATTTTTCTTGATTCATTGTAATATTTAAATTCCTGAAAACATCATTTCATTTGTACAAAAACAAAATAATGGTAACAATAAATAAACATATAATAAAAATAAGAAATAATATTCTTCACCAAAAGATAAATAGTATTCACATAACATGATTCAAAATTTTAAAAATATTAGTGGTGCCTCTTTAATAATTTATCCAATTTAGATGAAACTTGGTTTACATGTTTTTTAATGGTTGACTAAAAATTCTTAATAGATATGAATAATTTATTAATCGCAAATTTAGTAAATCCTCACATTTTTTTTTTTTTAAATCCCCTTCATTAATAGGAGCAATCACCACTTTTGAATCTATTGGTCAATCTTAATTATAAAATCAACATATAATACTACTGAGAATATTATTTGGTGGTTGATTATAAATTATTTAAGGGAAAATAAACACTTCACTACTTAGAGGAAGAGACCAACAACATTTTTTACACAAATTGACTATTTTTCAAATTAAATTATTTTTAGAAATACTCCAAAAAAATTAGATCAAATAATAACACTGTGCTGAGCAGCTAGTATATATAATTTTCATAATCTATTCTATACAAAAGACTTTCAAGCACCAGTCCACTTTAATTCAATTTCAGAGGTATATAAAAATGCAATATAAAGTTCTAATTTATCACAATCTTTGACAAGGGCTTAAGTGAAATTAATAATTAAATCACAAACCGGGAGAGCAGTCATATTAGATGGATAGCTGAAGTAGCCGACACGCTGCATGCTCATTCTAGCAGAGCCATTGGATTCAGGGTCATCTAAGACCGCAACAACGCTCAAGTTGAACTCAGCATCTCCATTACTGTCAATATAAACCTTGAGAGGGAATAAATAAGATTATTTTTTTAACAATATTGATAGTAAACATTGGGAGCAGGATAGCTCAGTTTTATTTATTATTATTATTATTTTTTTTTTACAATTTGTTTTGGAATTATCAAATAATGGTTCATAATGACAAAGATGGGTGTTGCTATATAATATTTTCCAATTACTTTTACACATTACATAAATTAACAAATCATTTTCAATATCAAAAATAGATAGGTAAAGAAACATAGACACTAGAAGAATATTGTAATAGCAGAAAGCAATAAGGAAAAGAGAGGGATCCAAAGGTTAAATGAAGATATGGCATAGTTAATTTTTCACAAAGTGCTTGATGATTGAAAAAGTTTTTATCAAACTTTTTACTTTTTATTTTTAGTTATCAATTTTAAATAACGTTTTATAGGAACTAAAGATGATATTATATATATATATATATATATATATATATATATATATATATATATATATATATATATATATTATTATTAGGTTATTAAGTCCATGACTTCTTCGCTCGTGGGGTCTTCTTGATTGAGAGTTCCAGAAAATATTCTTTCCAGATGCTCAAAATGTGTTCTTTAAATACCGTCAGAGTTCCACCTTCTCTCCGCGTTTGCGTATTTCTTGCTTTATATCCTTTCTATTCCTTTTCTTTCCTAATGTCTGCGTAGAATTCCGCACGACAAAAAATCGTCATTTCGTAAACAATCACTAATAGCCAAAAATAAATTTCGTCACTTGTATATAACAGAAAATAATTGATTCTTGTTATTTTAATTCTAAATACATTAAATTCTAATTTTTAATCGGTATTAAAGAGATACCGGTATTTTGTGAATGGCAGTGCAAAAAATTACCGTTCGTGTAAATACGTACCGGACGAATATGTGTAAAGTGTCTTTGGTTTTGTTTGCTAGGAATATTAAAAGTCCTTTAATTGTTAGTAGTAATAAAAAATGCATAGCTATGATCTATGAAAAAATTGTTAATTGAATAAAGGAAAAAATGGGAGAAATATATTCCACTGCTTGAAAGAAAATTACCAGAAATTAAATAGCAATACAGATAGTGTACAGAATTGTCATAATTAATTTTCTTAAGCTTAATAACATTATTTTTCAGAAAGCAGGGTGGTATGTGAAAGTTGTGTGATAAATTGCACCGGATCTTTTTTCATACAGTTGTAAATTTCAATAAATAAATTTTGTCGGATTTGATATTCCTCTGTCAAAGAGTAAAAGAGCTTGTTTTGCCAACATAGTATGAAATAGCCTCCGTATTTGTTTAAATGTTGATCTTTTTGTTCAATATTTAGATGGTATAGATTAGGGATCTTATAATTGATCGATTATTTCCAAGAAATGAATCGATAAAATCAGAAAAAAATATTCCATCGGTCGTAACTGATATCAGTGTCAGTAAAAAATATAAATATACCTTTATTCGATTAGGAACGTTCTCGGTTATTATTCTTTTTAGTCTCGGATATATTTAGAACAGAATTAAAACCAGAACAAAAAAGTATAAGGGGTGCTCGTTTTGAATAAAATCCTCATAGAGGGAATTTAAAGTTTAAAAACAACTATAAATAGAAAGATCAGAAGCAATATAAAACAAAAATCATTTTAAACTTATAACTAATTATAAAAAAAAAATTATCAACAGAGCCGAAGTTAGCGGAATTCAGGCAAACTAAGTTTTATTTTTAGGATAACTAAAAAATATCTGTACTTCTTTTTGACCATGAGCGTCAATATCTCTCGGAACAGTGAAGTCACTTCCACCCTAATGTTTGAAATGGTCCCATTCTTCCCAACCAATATTTTGAAAATTCCGTAGGTTTCATATAAAATCTTACATTATTTTATTAAGAAATGCACAAGAATAAATAAGTTCACTATTATTATTGTAGAGAGTCCTTAATATAGATCGTCCGGTAAGCGTAAGGCCTCGATATTATTTTTAAAAAATATAGAATTCATAATATTGTCCACTATAAAAAAGTATCACTACGTATTAGGCCCCCGGTTCCTAGAAACAGAACAAGAAACACGTTTAGATTTCAGATATATATTTCGAAATATGCTGTCTAAAATAATATGATACAACTGTTGACTTTTATCTTTTTTTTTTTGTTTTCTTCTTCCTCGAGTTTTTACTTTCACTTACTTATATATGTAATATATAGTAAGGGAAAGTATTGCGACTGTGAAAATTTTCGAATCTGAGTTTTCAACGAAGATAGAAGTACCTTGAGACCAAATAACCAAGTCCCGCAAAATGGTCTGTGTGCCAGTGTGTGTATCTTAGCAGTATAGCTCAAAAACGAAAAGTCGTACGAAACTGATATTACATATTTAAGATAGGTATATGCCTTAGACGTAAAAGCAACTTTTTCCTTGGCTAACCGAAAGTCCTAGAGAGAGAGAATCACTTTATTATCATAAAATAAAATAAAATGGTGCTGCCCAATTACATTGGGTTGCTAACAACACAGCATACCTATTAATCACTACAGACATTATTTAAAATTATTATACAATTATAGGATTAACAATATGTATGAGCATAGTATACAATATTTTATACGTATATATATATATATTATTTTTTTTTTCCTTTTTTTTTTTTTTTTTTTTTTTTTTATAATTTTTACTATTTCTTTCATTCATTTATTATCATTCTGTACCCTTTCTCTTCCTTCTCTCCCCCTATACATGTTCCCACTCACATTCTCTCCTCTCTCTTTCTAACCTAATACATAAAAAATTCATAAAGTACAGTGGACGTGTTCAATAAATAATAATATAAAAAATGCTGTAACACACGCATGCCTCCCCCTCGCGAGCAAACTCTCCCCCTATCCGCTCCCATGCACATGGTGGTGGATGATTCCCAGGGAGTCGAGGATTATACTCTCTGCCAACCTTGCCACGTCCTTTATGTCGACACCAAGGCCCTCCATGAAGCTCCTTGTTGAGTCTGGTATCGTTCCGCGAGCTCCGAACCAAAGGCCTCTCACGTGGAATTCTCTCGGCCCGAAACTCTCGCGGAACTTTTCACTAAGGAAAGGGATGCATTTCTCATATATCTGTTTTTTCTCCCTTTCCACTTTTTCTGCCTGATCGAGGTCGTTGGTCTCATATCTCACGGTCGGATCCAAAATCATCGCCGACTTTCCCGTCTTAGAGAATGCTACAATGTCGGCATATCGGGTGGATCCATCCGTATCTATACAATATACTTCCTCGAAACAGGCGTATTCTCTCTCTTCAAGGAGCCTCATCAGTTCATGCTTGACTCTGTGGTGACGGCGTGTTATAAGGAGGGAGTTGTTGGGGCATTTTCCAAGCACATGTGCTGGTGTTTCTGGCTCTCTGTCGCATTTGCGACAGAGGGACCCAACTTCTCTTACCTGTCCGCTGACACCTGGGACTCCACGCAGGGGAGCATAATTAATATTTAGTTTCAGGGCATTTGACCATTCAGACCCAGAAAGTACTTGCTTATCATACATGTATTTATTGGCTTTCGGGGTCTCTTTAAAATGGCGAACTCCAATGCCCTGCCACCTGCAATTGGTCCATTCCTCAAACGAATTTTCTCGAAGCGACTGCCGTAGAGCTCTCATATTCCGAATACCCCGATCAACCCCCAATCTCTCGGCACATTCATCAACCTCAGCCGAATAATCAAAGATCGACTGAAAAAGGGCATCGGGCACATTGGACAGTCGCTGAGCAATGGACCAATGTTGTAGAGGAGCCTCCCATTGGCAGCGGATTAATCCCAATCCTCGATACCTCCTGGGAGAGTACAACATCGCCGTGGAGGTGTTCGCAGGGAGTCCAACAATAGCCTTCACACTCCTGCGAATCATGGTGTCGATGCCGTCAAGTACGGCAGGACGCAGCTTTGTGAGGGGCGCAGTTTGGAGAGGGTAAGTAAGACCCGGGAACAGATATTGGTTGACAATGTTTAGCTTCTGCTCCGGCTTCAGCAAGGGAGAGGTTACCAGTTTATTCAGGTTTTCGTTCAATTTGGTCACCGAATCTTCGTTGAACTGTAGCTCTCCCGAGAATGTACATCCTAAATACTTGATTGTATCTCCATTCTGCATTGTTTGGATGTACTCTCCGTTCTCAAGGGAGAGCATCGCGGTTTCCAGCTCTCCTTTATTTAGAACGATGCCCACGCTTTTTTGAGGATTAATAGCCAAACCAATTCCCTCAAATGTCCTCTGAACGCTGCCGATCACTCTTTCTGCAGCCCCCTTGTCACGCGCTGACACGGCCTGGTCATCCGCGAAACCTGTGAGGACCACACAACCTTGGTCACTTTTTAACTTGTATCCAAATTTTTTGGAAAATTCTTCATCGCACAGGTCGCGATAGAGATGGTCAATGGCCAGGTTGAAGAGCGACGACGACAAGGGGCCGCCTTGGGGTACCCCGCGCAGCACTTTGATTTGGCTAGTTGCGTGAACACCGTTACTAATTTTGATTGTGTTCGTGCAGAGGAGAGCCGATATAACGTGTTGAAGATCCGGCGACACACCTCTTGCTTCCAAGGAGCTCACGATATGATTGTGGCCAACATTGTCAAAAGCACCGACAACGTCAAGGAATACCACCGCACAATCTTTTTTCATAATCTTTGCATCCTTCAATACAGCGTTTTATATCAACGGTGAAACACATTTTTAAAATTTTCTCAAAAACGGCTATAACGATTTTGATTAAACTCGGCTTATCATCGTATAATTAATTGTTATTTAATATCAATTAGGTCTTGGCCCCATTGATGTCACTTTACAGGGCTTAAATGCCCAATATTCATATACGTCTTTCACTGAAGTACCTTTAATAGGGCTGATTTAAGAAAAAAAAATAATCATCTCACATTATTCAGAGTTACCAAAAAATGCTAAATATAACTTTTGAAAGAATTTGATAGTTGAATAAAGAAGAAAAAAAAATAAAAAT